ACTCTCTTGCTAATTTTAAAATATTTAACTCTTAATATTTATTAAATTTTCTATTAAACTTATCAAAATCCTATTTTAAAATAGAATTAGGGTAGACCTGAATTAGAATTTTTAATTTTAGTGGTTCTACCAATAAATTTAACAAAAGAAACAAGGCTTAAAAGTTCATATAATAAGCATGTGAGCATCGCATTAGAAACTTCGGAAGAAAATTCTAACATTTGCATAAATGAGGGTATCAAAAATGCACATTTTTAAAAACTTTAAGATTGTATAAGTGTAACGAAAACAAGTGATGGTTATACAGGTGAAAATAGGGGGAGCTATAGGGTATTTAAAAGCAATTAAGACAGCCGAAGCCTAGTAGCCTTAATGGGCCGAACTAACTAATCCAGCCCATTTTAGGAACAATATGGGCCTAAGCCATATAGATGGGATCTCGTCACCGCCTTTTACCCTTTCGCATCGATTTTGCCTCTCTCCCCCTCCCCCCCCTCTCTCTCTCTCTGTCGATTTCTCGAGCCTCGCTCATCGATTAGAAGAAGAAGAAGATGGCGGGAATGGGGGATGGGTATGTGGGCACCGCCCAAGACGCGGTGAGAATAAGGAGGCTAGAGAAGCAGCGAGAGGCCGAGAGGCGAAAGATTCAGGAGCTCAAAAGCAAGTCCGCCGCCGGCGGTAACCAGACCGGCCTACTCCAGTTCGGATCCAGCACATCGGAGGTAATCTCACCCGATCCCCACGCTAACTGCGCCGAGTGTCTCTTTATCTTACTTTCAATCTAGGGTTTTTGAGGTTTTAGGGCGGTTAAAGATGCGATTTCCGATGCAATAGGCAAGTTTGTATTATCAAAAAGGACGATTTATTTGCACTACCCCAAGGTTTCACCCGTGTAATTTCGGTACCCTGAATTTCTATTTGGACAATTTGATTCCTGACTTTCACCAAACTCAAGCAATTTCAATTTCATTCAGAAGAAGATGATTATTCATATGTCATATGTTCGATCTCGGGTTTTTGAGGTTCTAGGGAGTGAGAGATGCAACTTTGTGTTGGGAAATACCCGGGGCTACGCTAAACCCCTAAAACAACAAAAAAACACAGTATAGAAAAAAATACACCAAGATTTACGAGGTTCGGCAAAATTGCCTACGTGCTCGGGAGCCACACAATTAATTTCTTATTAATCAAAGAAATTACAATGCAAGAGCAGATTTCAAACTTGAGATCTCTTAATAAATACAAAGCAACACTGTAGCTACAGTGATGATTTCCCTTCTTAAATACCCCTATTTAATTCTCCCCTCAATAAATCCCTCCTTTCTTAAATTCCACCCTCAAAATCAATGTGAGCTGAAGGAGAAAGAAGAGATTGCGAGAGAAGAGAGAGAGAGAGCCACCGTCACTGGAAGAGAAAACGAGAAGAAGAAGCCCAGAGAGAGAGAGATAGAGCTCTGGGTTCCCTTTTATAAGGGAACCCTAGCGACAGCCTGACGCTTGCTGTCTCGACCTCGCCTGTTAAGGCACTGAGCTCGCCTGAATCAGTTTGATCTCGCCTGGCCTCGTTGCAAAGCTCGAGCTCGCCTGCGGAGCTGTCTCGACCTTATCGCCCGCTCCTGCATCGTCGAGCTCGCTTGCAGGGCTGCGTCGCCTCGAGCTCGCTTGACCGTGTCGACCTCGAGCTCGCTTGACCGCGTCGACCTCGCCTTGCCTGCGTCTTCTGCGGAGGTTCGGATCCACACCCAAATCCAACACTTTGATGCCAAGGCAAGATTTTATTATAACAAAGGGTTATTTGAACTTTATTCCAAAGTTTCGCCGATATATCCCAGAAAATACCCCAAATTACACCTAATTCAAGTAACTATGTTTATTTGCACTTTAGTACCCCAAAATTTTCACCCTTTGTAAGTTTGATACCCTGAATTTCTATTTGGACAATTTGATACACCCAAGTTATCAAGTCGATGTTAATTTGACAATTTTATACCCCAAGGCCATAGCTTTGTTTCTCACTTTCCCCAAAGTCAAGTGATTTCAATGTCATTTGGAAGAAGATGATTATTGATATGTCAAAATAGAACTTCAGGGTTTAAAACTTTGGGGGATTGAAGTGCAAATTACCAATTTAACTTTTGTAACTTTCGTTAACTCGACAATCAGGATTCTGTCTAAAGCACATCATGTGTGCATGATGATATTTTGACTTCGATACCCTGAACTAGAGAGAAATTTTCACAAATCCCTTTCATCTTTAGCTATTCAACACTTAAAAAAGAGAGGAGATCGAAGATGAAGAAGATGGGGAACTATGGAGAGGGAAGGGGGAGGAGTTGTGAATTGGTCTCTGGATAATTTGGGGAGAGATATGTGATATGATGGGTATAAATGTCATTTTAGCCACTCTTGGGTAAACTACATCTTAAAATGATGGGTAGCTTTGGGGAAAAAAACTTTAGTATACCAAAGTTAAAGTTAATGAAACTTTGGGGTGTTGGTGTGAAAATAACAATACAAAAATGGAAATCTTATTGTAAAACATGGGTATGAAGCAAATCAAACAAGCCTATGACCTTGAAAACGTTGTTGTTTATTTGGTGAATAGTGGGGAGAGGATGATAATGTTTGTTGTAGGAAATTATCTTACTGTTTAAGGCTGATATGAGCTGAGAAGCTAAATAGAAACTTGTTCTCAAGCAAAATGAAAAGGCTGTTGCAAATTTAGCCTCCACTGAGCTCTTCATGTATAAGAAAGCTCATGTACAAGGTCAAATGTATAAAATAAATCGAAAATCACTGCATAAATAATGTACGGTTGGACCTGTAATTCTCTTTTATACATCCATATCTTTTTTAATAATATCCACACGTTTTGAAGATAGCTTATTCAGGGTGTTGCGTCAACCTTGAATAAATATTCTCTATAATCTTATCAGTGAAATAAAACCAGTAATAAATATTCTCTATAATCCAAGTCAATATTGATCCAATTAACTTGAGATAACAAATATTCCTCAACTTTAAATAAAAGTCAACCTTAAGGGAAATATTCCATTATTACAAAGCTTCCAATTATCAACTAAATATCGAAGACTTAATTAATCTCCATTGATAAGAAATTAGCAATTTGCAATTTTATTTCTTGCTCCCTTCTAAGAATTTAGAAACTCTATCTAATCCTGAGTCTCAGAAACGAATGAAAACAACACGATGAGTTCACAACTCAATAAGGGAATAAATTCATACATTAAACACTGATTTTGCAAAAACTAGAATATTTTGACTTGATACACAATATAATAATAGTAAAAAATCATCAATGAACTCATAAACTTGATCCAATATCTCTAAAATATAAATTTCATAAGATGAAAAATAAGTAGGTCACGTCTCAATGCGGTCAATACTTCATACTCCGATTGACTTGGTAAACCCTACAATTATTAAGCGTGTGGTTTCGGGACGGTGACCTAAATTTAAGCTCTTAGCGCTAAAATAAAAACCTCATTGAGGCACATTGACCCCTGTTTTAATGACTTATCTCCGACATAGATCAATATATTAACTCGAGATGCATATGTTTTTAAGAAAATGAACAAAGTTCATATAACCAAATACTTTATAAAGAATTTCCAAAGGCTTATACCAAATATCTGTGTGCGTCACATCCAAATCAACATTTAATATGCGAGTAAAGGCATACAAAAGGATAAAATCCATCAGGAACAGACCGACATATACTTAATATAATTTATATGGAAAGAAAATAGACAGCACATAATGCACAAATTCACCCCTTAATGAAAACCAAACGATAATCCAAAGATCCACCCGCCGCCTCTGCGGAAACTCTACGAATTCCTAAGGAACATATACAAGCAAATATATTAATTAATAAATAATTATCATGATATACAATAATGCTAGTCGCTCGATCAATTTATACCATTTAAAATAACTATCTTAGTATACTATTAGCCATCCCTGCACTCGGTATTTTAATAATATTTATAAGAAAAACTAAACAAAAAAAAATACCTAGAGCCTAGCTGCACCAACACAAATACTTGGCCACCGCTTTACCTTGCCGATTAGGTACGATTTGTTTCCATTAACCTAGGAAACTAACATTGATAATGATGATTCTCACTTTGTACAGTCACAACTAAGAAGACTAAAAACTAGCTGATCTAGTTATGTGAACCTAAATAATTTAGGATCAACATCTCTTTCACAAACATGAGAACCATACATACCGTAGGCCATATAAAAATTGTTTAGAAGAAGAGAGAGATATATATTTTACCTTGTTGTTCCTTTTGTAAGGTTGATCAAATTACTGCTGACCCCCTTCAACAAAGTTTCATAGTCTTGCGGCATGAGGATAGAATTCAAGTTTTCCCTTTTTTTTTCGCTCTTCCTCTGTGGCCTATTTTGGCTGCGGCTTCTGAAGGAACACAACTAGGGTTTCTTCTTATTACTTTTTCCATTTCCAATAAACCCCCTAGCCAATTTCCTTTTGCAACAAACCCCTTAACAAACATAAATATATAGATACTTTTAATATAAAACATAAAAGCCCTCATGTAATGTCATATTTATAAATTAATATAGTCAACCCAATTGTTTGAATATCTTCTAAAACAATTTATAAAACTAGACCTATTATCAATAGAAGATTAGGGATATTACATGGAACTAGCGTAATAGACATGGTGCCTTCTATGTAATGGCTATTCACCTCGCTTTTGATAATACCTTATTCACCATGCTTTTCATACAACTAATCCTTTTCTTCAGGAATAAATTTTGTTATTCTTCATGTTGGTCTTTTCCCCCTGTTGCTTTGTTGGTTTCAGTGACATTCTTCTTTTTGTGGGTAATCAGATTCTGGAGACTGCTTTCAAGAAGGAAACAGTTGGTCTAGTTACTAGAGAACAATATGTCGAAAAGGTATGATGGATCAATATTTTGCATCTATTAATTGATTGTATCTTTCTTTCCTTCTGTTTTCTTTTTTTTTAAAGCAAACGGCCATAGGTCAGGCTTCAGTGGATTATGATCTATCTTGATATTCTACATGCATATGCACATTATATGATGTTCTCTTTGTTTGTACTTCTTTTAATAGAGGGTTAATATCCGCAACAAAATTGAAGAGGAAGAGAAGGAGAAGCTCGAAAAACAGCAACGAGAGTGCGTTGACCTTAACTACCTTCTCCCATACTGTCTATTATCTCTTTAACTTTGACATGATTACTAACATTTTAATTGATGTCTTAGGGAAGAGGAACTTGAACTACAAAAACGGAAGAAGAGGAGGAGAGTTAAAGGAGATTCACGGTTGTCCTTTGCAGATGACTTTGAGAATGAAAGTGATGAGGATGATGTGGATGCGAGTGAGTTACTTTTCTTTTTCTTTTTATGTGTGTTTGTTTTGGTGGGAGGTGGTTAAATTTTAATGTTATAAATTTTTTTGCTTGCATTTGGTTGAGTCTGTTTGGTTGAGCTGCTATCTATATCCATCACGATCATCTTTGTCCACTGAATTTTCACCGATATCAAATGGTCTCTCTCCAGAAGAAACCTTAAAGTCAGAACCCATTTGTCTAATATCTTATTCTCATTTCAGCAGTTTTTATCTTTCACAGCATTTCAATTAATGCAACAGTGATGCTAAACTTCCAGATGAGATGTAAAATTTTAGGGATCGAAATGTATGCCTTCTTAAATACATGGATTCTGTCTGAATTTGTGTGCAAACTTTGTTTGCTGGATTTTTTTACTTATATATTCCATTAGATCTATTCTCTCATTAAAATTTATTTCTGTTCTATTTTTTAAGGTCTCCAACTTTGCATGCAACATATTTTCACATTAGAGTTATAAGTTTTTATCTTTAAAGTTAAAAGACAAGCTTAATTCATGAAACAGTTGGGCATTTATGCAATTAAAGGGCACTGAGTATGTCGTATGACCAGACACATTTTGTTATTTAGGAGTTCGCATCTCACCTAGGAATAACACTAGGTATAAAGATGCTAGTAAGAAAAAAAATCTATTAATTAGGGAATAAAAGAAGGGTAAAGTGGGTAGAGGATCTTGAGAGAAATGCATATGGAATTAAAATTTTTATGTAGTTCATTCATATTCTCTGTTAGCGTTACACAAAATTTTATGCCAATTGCTCTATCAACAACATATCCTGTCTGAAGATAATATGCTGATATTTTTGTTCGCCTTTTTTCTCCAGCATAAGAGCAGTCTAGTCCCCTTTTTTTCTTTGAAAAAACAATAAAAATAAAGCTTATAGTCTGAGAGATGGCAATGCTATTGTAGATGTTTGATGAAAAAGATTCTAGCGAAACAAATGATTTATTTAGCAGATGGAGTTAACATTAAGGCATTTGTTCCTCGTTACTTCTCCATCTGAGGCACTATGGTTTGCTTCCAGAAGAAAATCAAGAGCTAAAAAATTCTGGCAGTGGGAAACTCGGCAAGGACCCAACTGTTGAGACGAGCTTTTTACCCGACAGGTATGTTTGTTAATTTTTATTGTAGCTTCAGTGAAGCAATTATTTCTTCACTCCTTTGTCTTTAATATCTGAACTGATGGTTGCAAGGATGATCCTTCAGTGAGAGAGAAGCAGAGGAACAAGCTGAGCGGGAAAGATTGCGGAGACAGTGGCTTCGTGAGCAAGAAATTATCCGAAGTACTTTCACATTCTCCTGATAATATTCAGCTATATCTGTAAATGAAACCATCAAAATGAAATTAATATTTACTATGCTTCAGATGAGCCTCTTCAGATTACTTACAGCTACTGGGATGGAACAGGACATAGAAGGGTGATCCAGGTGATACTTCTTTCTGGAAGTCTGTTTTGAACTAGGGTTAATTGCACATAGAACCCACGTAGTAGCACAGTTCTAAACTTACTGCCCTGTAGTTCTTCATCGTTTCAGATAGAATCCCCTGGTTTTTTTATTATTACTCTTTTACCCTGGGTGGAATTTTGGGAGATGTTGTGCATTGTTGGAATTAGTTAATCTATCTTAGGGTAAAAGATTCGGAAAGATTCAACCCAGGGGATCTATCTGCAGTAATGAAACTACAAGGATAGTAATTTCAGATCATCGATATACTAGGGGGATCTATGTGCATTAACCTCATTGTTCTTGCTGCTTTACCAACCTCTCAACTCCTGAAAATGTAGGTTAGAAAGGGTGATACAATTGGGGAATTTCTCCGAGCTGTTCAACAGCAGCTTGCATCTGAGTTCAGGGAGGTACGAACAACATCAGTGGAGAACCTGCTTTATGTCAAAGAGGATTTGATCATTCCACATGTGAGTCCCTTCTGTTTGGTTATAAATAGTGATGCTGATTGATAACAGCGTTCTGATTTTCTTTCCTTATTTGGGTAACATCTTGGATTTCAGCAACACAGTTTCTATGAGTTGATTATTAACAAAGCGAGGGGAAAAAGTGGACCGGTAATCATTTTTACTCTTTCATACATGGTTTATTTTGTTTCTGTGCTTATTATTATATAGTATCTTCGATTTTTGACAAGTTAATTGAACAAGTAGCCAATTTATCCTAAGCAGTTATGTTGAAAAATATAACTGATGAAACCAGCTATTCTCATCTTTTCTTTCCCACTGTTTTGAACTGCATAGCAGCCACTTTTAGTTGCATCCTTTTGCATTAATAGCCATTCTTCACTTAAATTAATTGATGGGTTATCTGCGATACTAGATTAGCATTTTTAATCGTCTGAATGATTTCTGCTAGCCTGTGGAGTTCTTATTTAAATGTTAGAATTCAGAAACTGCTTCCTATGCAGCAGAATATTCCTCAAGGATGTGTTTTCTGAGCTTATTCCAGTTCATGGAACTTGCACACTACCACACTAAAGTAATGGCGAAGTGGTTGAGTTTCTTTGCTTCAAGAATTCCGAATTATGAAAATAGCCACGAGAGTTTTCCATAGTGATCTTTGAGACCGTCATTTCCTTTTCTTGCTTCGCAAATAAATAGAAACTCTTCCTCCTAAATTGGCATCTTGTTCACCCTTTCTTAATTGAACTGACACCTGCTTTGCTTTAGGAGTTTGTACTAATTCATTTCCTTTTTCCTATCTTGCGATTCTGCAGCTTTTCCACTTCGATGTGCATGAGGATGTGCGGACAATTGCAGATGCAACAATCGAGAAAGATGAGGCAAGTTTCTTTTGGTATTGCGCTTTGTTTGGTTGTAAAACTTTAGGCCTGCAACTTCAACAATTCATTTTAAAAGGTTATTACATGAAGCCAGTACAATAGTTAGCATGTGTTCACTTTCTTTCTTCCTTTTTTTGCAGTCTCATGCTGGGAAGGTAGTTGAAAGGCACTGGTACGATAAGAACAAGCATATATTCCCCGCTTCAAGATGGGAGGTAATATCCAGTTCTCATTCATCTAACATTTCCGCCATCAATTTGCTATTGCAACAAATATTATAGAAATTGCTAAATGCTGGCGATTCCACAACAAAACTTCTTAACTTTTTTACACCCCCCCCCCCCCCCCCCCCCAGATCTCGACCCCGACGAAGAAATGGGAGAGATACACAATTCATGGGGATTAAAGTTGTCAATGGAATGAATGATAGTGATCGTGAAGTAATATCACTCTCCTACTCCTTCAAACTTGCGATTGCCTGTGTTGTTGGATGTCAGCTAAAAATGTAACTATTATTGTTAACTTACGGGGGAAAAAAGACTGGTAATCTGCTTGCTATCAGTGCTACCTTCTCATTCAATTCAACGTTCTCAAAAAATGTCTGTGTTGTGGTTTATTCATCTAAACATCTTTAACGTAAAAATATAACCATATGGTTCTGGTTTCATCGCATTGTTGCTAATGAGATTAAAGTTTCCTTGTGGTACGTGGTTAGAATGTTCGTAATTTTTCGCTTATACACTGTTGATTATTATGCATCTGTTTGTTGGAGATGTTGGTGTTGTGGGGATGATTCATTTGCGTTGGTACAACTGCTTATGGCTGGTTATATACCTCGCGACCAGCACTTCACGTTTCTGAGCTTCCATGTTTCACCCTGCTCTAGATTCTACTTTATATGATTCAAGTTTATTGTTAGTGCAATTATCATACAGGGATCCAGAGTTACTGCAAGGGCAAAGCTAGCATTACAAATAGTGTAACCACCGAAAATCACAAGGATGTACGTGTTAGTGATGCAGAACATCAATCTTATGATGATTGTGATACGACATAAACCATAGTGTAAAGCATAACAAGAGAGTTTTACCTTGATTTGATTTTTACCAATAAATCAAATGAAATCAAATAAGAGTTGAATATAGTAAGTTGAAAAGGGTGGCAACAGTGAGAGTGAAATTCCCAACCAATAAACCGAGCTATGAAGGTACGAACTCATCGCCCAGGGATCTGTTTCGCATCAAACCTGCGAAAACCCGAAGTGGAGGCAGACCTCTTCTCCATGCCGTATCTATGGTTTATTGGCCCGTTCTCAACATTCTTTGTGGCTGCAGGATGGGCTTCGGTCCTCTGCTCAAGGATGGAGGAGGGCTTAATAGGTGGCGGAGATGAAGACGTGCTCCCCGTGGTACTGCTGCCACCGAGTTCACGGCTGTGTGCTGGCCGGACTACAACATGCTCACGGAAAGAAGGAGATTTAACGGGTGGCAGTGCCGGAGGTGTGCTCAAAGAGTAGCGCTGGGGTTGCATGCCGGAGGTTGTGCTCCCTGTAGAGCTTCTCATCAGTTCATGGCTATATGTCGTGCGCGCTCCAGCCTTTTACGGTAACAAGTACAGAAAACACATCCATTGTTAGAGAGATGGACATAGTTTGAAAAGCAACAAGTTCCCAGGTTTCTACTCGGAACACGAACGGTAAGTGTCCCATGAGCTCAGAAGGAAAGAAATCTTTCTATGAGTATTTGAAGTTGCGACGGTATGTTTTTCATGTTAGCGTATATTTGTGTATTATATCAGTTAGCCCTCAAGGGCATTTTGGTCTTTTCCTAGCTAGCCATGTTCTTCCCCCACACCGATGTACTGTGACAATAAGAGTGCTATTCAGATTGCGCACAACACAGTTTTTCATGAACGCAGCAAACACATTGAGATCGATTGTCATGTGACTCGTTATCATCTCCAGCAAGGGACTCTTTCTTTGCCCTTTGTTTCGTCCTCTATGCAGCTTGCAGATTTTTTCACAAAGGCTCATACCCTCCAACGTCATTGGTTCTTTGTTGGCAAACTCTCGATGCTTCTTGCTGCCCCATCGCGAGTTTGAGGGGGGATGTTAGCGTATATTTGTGTATTATATCAGTTAGCCCTCAAGGGCATTTTGGTCTTTTCCTAGCTAGCCATGTTTTCTATATATATGCCTTTTATGCTTGTAAAACCTAAGCTTTTAGCTCAGACTCTCCTTTTTACATATGGATGCGGCTGCTCCTCTTGTTCTTCCATTGTTATTCTTTTGAGTGTATGATTATTGATTCTAACATTTCATACTCGAGATAAATCAAATGCAGTTGAATTGAGTAATACCATTGAAATAATAACGGTAAAACAAAGCTTTCGTTCCCAATTTTTTTTATAAAACATTAAAATTTCAGGATATTTATATCTTGATATATATAGTGTATATACCTTTACCGGACGTCCATAATCTCCTACTTCGAGCTTCATCATGTTTTGTTCCACATTCGTTGGAGTCTCCTTTTGTGTGCGAGACTGATGTTTTAATTTGGATGATCTGCGCCTATGATGTTTCAACCGAATTAAGAACGACGCAATCAGCGAATTAATAACGACGACAAACATTATCATATGCTAAATAGAAGAAGGAAAAAAAAGAGTAGGTTTAGCTTACTTCCTCCTTTCATGAGGTTGGTTTGATTCATCATCTTCTTTTTTGCAAACAACGGGCAGACCTGAAAGATCGCAGGCCAGGGGGCTGGTGCCGAAAAACTGTGATTAAAAGACCAAAATATCTTAATCGAGGAAAAAAGAATTTTTGTCAGCATCTTCTATATTAGCCTTAAACGTGCAAACTTAGACATAGACCTAAAGCATAGATGCAAATTCAAAATGAAAATTATCATGAGCTATGGACCTGGCTTTCTAAAGCTGCGACCATTGTTCTAGTTACATTCAGCATTATTCTACGCATATTGTCTGCAATTAATTGGGTTCGAAACTTTTAGACATCTGCCAGTGTTGCTTCCTTCAACTTGTGCACACTTCACAGGCTCATAACTGACACGGTATGATACTGTCACGATGCCATATTTGATGCACCATGCCAATTATCGAACTCATATGACTATTAATGGATCAAGAAGAACATTACATGTGCTTCAAGAAACATAGATAGATGCAAGTAAAAGGGTATGCTAGTCGTTATGCATTTGAGGAGATGACACTTAAACATAACAGAATGAAAAAAAAAAAAATTCATGTAGACGCCACCAAGAGTTCTGGATAGAGTCTTTGTTGTTGTCGTTTAAGATTACTGTGTCAAGATAATAAAAAATAAATAAAAAGGTGCAGAAAATATCTAATATAATTATATATCTAACATATAATATCAAACATAAGGTAGTTTCACTCGAAAAAACTGAAAAAAAAAGAGAAAAGATGATTTCCATATTCAAAATGATTCCCGAAACCTCTGGGAATTTTACCACCAATAAAAAACCAACATTTCTTTCTTGTTTTCTGAATGAATAGCAAGCAAATTTGTACGATAACAATGGAGATAAAACACATGAACCCATATTAAGGATGCTGTAAATATCAGAATAAATGCTGAATTAAGGTATGAATCACAATGATTGTAGCAATTTACTTAGTAATAATAAACAGGCTCCATGCAAGCAAAAAAGTGTTCAAGCTACTAAACCATGGCCACATGGGATAATATGGCAAGAGGCTAAGCGCATCAATCTTAATATTTTGAAGAAAATGACAATAATAGGTGAAAATATTGTATGCTGCTCACTTCGTTTTGCAGAGCAGACGATGCACTCCCGCGACATGAAGGGTCTAGCGCGAGAAGCATCTTCAACAAACCCAAGGAACAAGAAGGGAAATCTTTGAATGCTTCGGTAATTAATGGTCTATACGGTTGTGGAGGCCGGAAGCTCGCAGAGAGGTTCAGTCTTCTCCAAAAATCTTCTGGTGGTGATCCACAGAGCTTGAATATTCTGTGGAGCTGCTCGACCTGAAAGTCCGAAAAAATGTCATCACCCCTAAATGTTCAATCTATCACACTATCAAGAGAAAGGAAACTTCAAAATGCCTTTCAATGGACTTAAATTTTTTTGCTCGGGGGGTACATCCGCAATTGGGATATAAAACAGGGGCTCTATCCGCAACAACAGAACTACAGGGGTCTGTCCACAACTATAGAGGGTCTGTCCGCAATTAACTTTATTTTTAACTACTAAGAGAATCAAAACTAGTGTCTGCCATTTTAATGTTATTCAAGGAAAAAATGTTTAGTCGCAGAATTATCGGATCAAAAAATCGAGAAAATCGCATGTTTCGTTCCCTCTTCGCGTCGTATGTCTCACCTCGGTCTTGCCAGGCATAATAGGCCTTCCAGCAAACATTTCAGCCAAAAGGCATCCGGCACTCCAGAGATCAACACCCACTCCATAGTCTGTACAGCCAAGGAGCAGCTCAGGAGACCTATACCAGAGTGTCACTACTCTACTGGTAAGAGGCCGCTTCTTATTGGGATTAAAATGATTCGCAAGCCCGAAATCAGCAATTTTCAGCACTCCCTGTTTATCGATCAACAAGTTCGAACCCTTGATGTCTCTGTGTAGTATACCCTTCTCGTGGCAGTGTCTCAGGCCAGCTAACAACTGTTGCATGTAACACTTAACCTGCGTTGACGATGTAAATGATTTTACATAAACGAAACTAAAGACGATCAAGGGCCGAAAATCTACAGGAATATCTGTCAGAGTAGTGAAGAACCTGAGGTTCCGTTAGCCTTCCCCCGGGACGAGAGATGACCGTTGCCAAGTCAGAGTGCATAAATTCAAAGACCAAGTAGAGGCTGTATTGCATTCTAGAAGTGGCAAGGCCTTCAAGCTTAACGATATTCGGATGGTCCAGCTTCTGCAGGATCATGATTTCCCTTGCCATGAACCTTATGCTCTCAGTTTCTGACGTATCGAATCGAACCTTCTTTAAAGCAACTATCTTTCCAGTGTCGCGATCTCGGGCTTTGTACACATTGCTATAAGTTCCTTGGCCTACCTGCGCGAGTATATATGCAAAATGATCCTAGCTCAGGCGAGGGAGGGAATCTTGAAAATTTCAAAAAAGGTGACAGAGTAGCGCATACCCGGATTTCATTAATATTTATACAGAATTTCAAGCCTATGTCAGAACACAATTCTCTGCTGTTGTTAAATGTTTCCGTTCTGATTTGGGTGGCGAATATACTAAAGGGGATCTTTCTGACATTTTTGTATCTGATGGTACCGTGCATCAAACTTCTTATACGGATACCCCACAACAAAATGGGGTAGCTGAAAGGAAACATAGACACATTGTTGAGACTACCCGTTCTATGCTTTTGTCTGCTCATGTTCCTAGGGAGTTTTGGGGAGAAGCAGTCCTTACATCTGTTTATCTCATCAATAGGATCCCCACTTCTCATAATTCAGGCATTTCTCCTTATGCTAGATTATTTGGTCACACTCCTGAGTATTCTCATTTGAGGGTTTTTGGCTCTACATGTTTTGTTCTTCGTCCACATGTAGAACGAACCAAGTTATCCTCTCGCGTTGCTATATGTGTATTTCTTGGTTATGACACTGGGCAAAAAGGTTATCGTTGTTATGATCCGGACTCTAGAAAATTGTATGTCTCTCGTCATGTTTCCTTTCTTGAGCATATTCCTTACTTTTCCCTTCCAGCTAGCTCGCATGGTATGACCAAATCTGATCTTATTCAGATTGCTCCTTTCAATGATGATTGCCCATCCGATTCTCAGCCCTCTGTACTTGATTCGTCATCTATACCGTCTTCTCCTTCTCAGCCTTCTTGCAGGTCTCACGAGGGTAACAGTCCACCTGAGGGTAACAGTCCACCCCCTGCTACAGCTACTCCAGAACCTCTTGTGATTGCGGATCCTGACCCACCTCGCTATCCCACACGCACTCGTAAGTCCACCCAGTTACCAGATTTTGCTTATTCTTGTTATTCTCCATCTTTTTCTTCCTTTTTAGTTTCTATTAATTCCTTCTGTGAGCCTACCTCTTACTCAGAGGCAGTTCGTGATCCTGCTTGGCAAAGGGCTATGGCTGAGGAACTGTCTGCTTTGGACAAAACTGGTACTTGGGATTTGGTTTTTCTTCCGCATGGTAAGAAAACGATTGGCTCTCGATGGGTATACAAAATTAAGACAAAATCTGATGGTTCTATTGAGCGGTACAAAGCCCGAGTTGTAGCAAAGGGGTTTGCTCAAGAGTATGGTATGGATTATGCGGAGACTTTTGCCCCTGTTGCAAAGATGACATCTGTTCGGGTTCTTATCGCAGTTGCGTCTGTTCGTCAGTGGCATATTTCGCAATTGGATGTTAAAAATACCTTCTTGAATGGTGATCTTAAAGAAGAAGTATATATGGTTCCTCCACCAGGTGTTTCACATAGTCCATGGCAGGTTTGTAGGCTTAAGAAGGCCCTATATGGTCTTAAACAAGCTCCTCGCGTATGGTTTGAGAAATTCTCCTCGGTAGTCACTTCTCTTGGCTTTGTTTCTAGCCATCATGATTCGGCATTGTTTGTTCGCTCATCTTCTACAGGCCGTATTTTGCTCCTGTTGTATGTTGATGATATGATCATTACAGGTGATGATATTGATGGTATCGCAGATTTAAAATCTACCTTGTCTCGTTGCTTTGATATGAAAGACTTAGGTTCTCTACGGTACTTCTTAGGTATCGAGGTAGCTTCTTCGGAGAAGGGTTATCTTCTCTCTCAGTCTAAATATACTGCTGATATTATTGAGCGAGCCCACCTGACAGATACTCGTACTGTTGATTCCCCACTTGAGTTGAATGCTCGCTATGTTCCTACCGATGGTACTCCTCTTGCAGATCCCACCCTATATCGTTCAGTTGTTGGAAGCCTAGTATATCTGACTATTACTCGCCCCGATATTGCTTATGCTGTTCACATCGTTAGTCAATTTGTTTTCTCTCCTACATCTGTACATTGGGCTGCTGTTATACGCATTCTGCGTTATCTCTGGGGCACCCTTTATCAGAGTCTTTTGTTCCCATCAACCTCGTCCTTGGAGCTTCGTGCTTTTTCTGATGCAGATTGGGCTGGTGACCCAACGGATCGGAAATCTACTACTGGTTACTGTGTATTTTTAGGTGATTCTCTCATCTCCTGGAAGAGTAAGAAACAAGATGTTGTTTCTCGCTCTTCAACTGAGGCAGAGTATCGTGCTATGGCTTCCACCACGTGTGAGATTGTATGGCTGCGTTGGTTATTAGCTGCTATGGGTGTACTTCTCTCTTCCCCCACACCGATGTACTGTGACAATAAGAGTGCTATTCAGATTGCGCACAACACAGTTTTTCATGAACGCAGCAAACACATTGAGATCGATTGTCATGTGACTCGTTATCATCTCCAGCAAGGGACTCTTTCTTTGCCCTTTGTTTCGTCCTCTATGCAGCTTGCAGATTTTTTCACAAAGGCTCATACCCTCCAACGTCATTGGTTCTTTGTTGGCAAACTCTCGATGCTTCTTGCTGCCCCATCGCGAGTTTGAGGGGGATGTTAGCATATATTTGTGTATTATATCAGTTAGCCCTCAAGGGCATTTTGGTCTTTTCCTAGCTAGCCATGTTTTCTATATATATGCCTTTTATGCTTGTAAAACCTAAGCTTTTAGCTCAGACTCTCCTTTTTACATATGGATGCGGCTGCTCCTCTTGTTCTTCCATTGTTATTCTTTTGAGTGTATGATTATTGAATCTAACAGAAATGAACAAAAGTTGTGCTTTCTTCAGGTGCGAATCTGTGCATTGAGAACATGTACTGAACACTGTAAGCCATGAGGGCTACGTTAGTTTCTCTATTGTTCTTGTTCACAGGTTTTTTTAAATGCTCCAATTAGAAGTAATTGGATCATAATTGGTAGAGAAAGAGGACTAAGTGAGAATCTCTAATTGATAGAAAACATGATCGGAAACAAATAAGAAGATAATTAAGAAGGATAGGATAACAATTAACCTAGTGGCAAATATAGTGCTAACTTAAACTGACCTTAAAGAATATGATTAAAGTCTTGCCCCAAAAGTTTTCTTAGGTGATGTTAGTGGGACTAAGTGAGAATCTCTATAAGAAAAAATTGTCTAGCCACACATTTGCCTGTTGTTGTGCTCGAGCTACTCAAATTAGTACCCGACATCAGCTCCGTTCATCTGTCAAATCTTGAGACAAGCATATAACCAATCACATTGCTACGACAACTGAAGAATATGATGCTGATTTTACCTTGCTTAGGGATGTGGTTAGGGGTGTACATTTGCCTTTGCTTACGGCTAATGGTCAGGCTAGCACGCTTGCCTAGTACTTTTATTGATCGCTAACGTTGTCGCGTTTGTTGATTAGTTTCTTTTCAGTTTTATGAGGACCAATGTGAGCTTTTTAACATACTGCAGCCTTCCAATCTTACATGGCCTATCATGTTCTTTTCGCAGATCAAAGATGGCTTTGCTGAAGGGAAAGATCTGGTGGTGACTGTTATGTCAGCTATGGGTGAAGAACAAATCTGTGCTCTGAAGGACATGTTGTGCGCAGCGGAAATTTCGGCAGAGTTTCTGGTGCACAATAAGAGAGAAAGATCGATAAGAATTCTTGTTTCTCAAAGGGAACAAGAATCTGAAGCCTAATATCCCATCAAAGTGGGATATTAGCTCTTCCTCTCGTCAGCTCTAGGACTGCGCGTCGAGGGATCCTAAAAACTATTACAATGGCCACAAACTCAAACAACCAATTTTACGTGGTTCGGCAAACTGCCTACGTCCACGGGGCAAGGAGGGGGAGATCTACTATTAAAGAGAAAAATCTAATATCCCATCAAAGTGGGATATTAGCTCTTCCTCTCGTCAGCTCTAGGACTGCGCGTCGAGGGATCCTAAAAACTATTACAATGGCCACAAACTCAAACAAACTAATTTTACGTGGTTCGGCAAACTGCCTACGTCCACGGGGCAAGGAAGGGGGATCTACTATTAGAGAGAAAAAGAATACAAATGGGTTTACAACTCTCACAATTTAAACCCTCAAATAACTCTCAAATCTCAAAAGGGATACCCAAAAGAAAAAGTCTCAAAAGCCGTACAAAAGACTTTTTTTCTCTTTCTCCCCTCTGCCTCCGCACTGTACCCTCTCCAAAAGAGAACTCAGCTGTAATACCCCAACCCTTGAGAGGGTGATGTGATTAGTATTGATAGATTTGATAGGAATACTCATACCATCAAGATGCATCTTCTTTTCGGGAACCCAATTCTTAGAAACTCCAAAGTTAAGCGTGCTTGGCCTGGAGAAATTCTAGGATGGGTGACCCCCTGGGAAGTTTTCCAGGGAGCACGCGAGTGAGGACAAAACGTGCTGAAAAGACATGTGGTGGTTTGTGAGGCCAGTCCATCAGATCTAATAGCGTACCGACTCCGGATTCTGGTGCGGGGCGTTACATTCATAGCGGCCAAAATTCATGATTTCTTATGCTATATAGCCCATAATTGTTTTCCATTTTTAGTTGATTTGACCCATTGTCAAATAACCTTGCAGGAGGCCAAATTTCATTTTTTTCATGAGTCATAATCCTTGGTATTTTGTATTTTTAATCATTACGACTCATTGGAAAATAATTTTGCAGAGGCTAATATTCATGATTTCATGAGCCATATAACACAATTTTTCCATCTTTAGTTGTTTTGACATTGGTCACTAATTTTGTGTAGGCCAAAATTCACGATTTCGTGAGCTATATAACCTATGATTTTTTGCCTTTTTTAGTCATTTGGATCAGTTGACAAATAATTTTGCAGAGTAAAAAATTCAAAATTTCATGAGTTATAACCCACAATGTTTTGTCATTTTTAGTCATTTTGACCTTTTGGCATATAATATCATGGAGTCAAACTATCACGACCTTGTGAGCTATAACCTATAATTTTATGGTCATTTTTAGTTATTTTGAGTCATTGGCAAATAATTTTTAGAGGCAAAAATTCATGATTTCTTGATCTATAACCCACGATTTTTACCTTTATAAGTATTTTTGACCTGCTAGCAAATAAGTCCAGTGAGGTCAATTCACGATATCGTGAGCTATAACCCACGATTTATGGCTATTTTTAGTCGTTCCAGCCCATCAGCAAATAATTTTGTGGAGGCACAGATTTAGGATTTTGTGAGCTATAATGCACGTTTTTTGACCATTTGTAGTTATTTTGACAACAAGTTCGAACCCTTGATGTCTCTGTGTAGTATACCCTTCTCGTGGCAGTGTCTCAGGCCAGCTAACAACTGTTGCATGTAACACTTAACCTGCGTTGACGATGTAAATGATTTTACATAAACGAAACTAAAGACGATCAAGGGCCGAAAATCTACAGGAATATCTGTCAGAGTAGTGAAGAACCTGAGGTTCCGTTAGCCTTCCCCCGGGACGAGAGATGACCGTTGCCAAGTCAGAGTGCATAAATTCAAAGACCAAGTAGAGGCTGTATTGCATTCTAGAAGTGGCAAGGCCTTCAAGCTTAACGATATTCGGATGGTCCAGCTTCTGCAGGATCATGATTTCCCTTGCCATGAACCTTATGCTCTCAGTTTCTGACGTATCGAATCGAACCTTCTTTAAAGCAACTATCTTTCCAGTGTCGCGATCTCGGGCTTTGTACACATTGCTATAAGTTCCTTGGCCTACCTGCGCGAGTATATATGCAAAATGATCCTAGCTCAGGCGAGGGAGGGAATCTTGAAAATTTCAAAAAAGGTGACAGAGTAGCGCATACGCCGATACCTATAACGCAAGTCATAAGCAAAATGAGAAGGATACCTTATCGAGCTTGACGAAGGCATCAGCGCTGCGGGGCACCAGTCCAGCAAGAACCTCGGTGGAACGTTATCAGCGAGCCACTTGGGCATCCGTCACGACCCGCCTCCTCCACAGCGACGGGAGGCTCCTCCTCGGTAATCACCCCTGCTGACCTTACTCTCTGCACACCAGTACCAATATTCATCGGCTTCCGCGGTCCGGTCAGGGTTCTTGCCGTCGGCTGAGGCCGGCTGGGCCTGGCGGCGCGGGCGCGGGGACGTACCCGCTCCGGAGCTTCATCTTGTCGAGGCCGCCCGCTGGTGCCTGACGGGGACGAGGGCCTCGCCTGGACGCAGCCCATTTCCGATCAGTTTCGGAGACGAAAATGGGTTTTTTTAGTTCTTGGAAGTGAGCTTGGCATGCATGACAAAACAGAACGGCCGGCCGAGGACGGCTGTGGACGATTGGAATCTGACGCCTCCGGACTAATTAACTAGTTAATGTGCGAACTGACTTTCTATTTTATATTTGATTAGTTCGCATTTTATTAATTATTAAGGTGCCCCGTAACTAAATTTTCTTATAAAATATTATTTATGGGGTTCACTCGGTAACGAGCTGTGATTGGTAATTGGGAGGTGCTACAGGCACACTACCGGACATACCCTCCGCCATACTCCCTCCCTTGCTACAGTAGCAGGAGAGGGAGTGTGGCTGAAGAGGGAGTGTGGCTGAGGGTTACTCCCTCCCTTGCTACAGTAGCAGGAGAGGGAGTGTGGCTGAAGAGGGAGTGTGGCTGAGGGTGTGTCCGGTGGTGTGCCTCTATCATTTTTCTTGATAATTTTCAGAGGTTCTCCGTAACCAATGATGTAGAGCGTCCCTACTCATCGTCGTAAGAAACTGCAAACTCAGTTGTAATATTTCTTCCGCTGCAAGATCGAATCCTGCAGCTTTTCCACTTCGATGTGCATGAGGATGCGCCAACAACCGCAGGTGCAGCACCTGAGAAAGGCGGGGCGAGTTTCTTTAGTTTGGTACTGTGCGTTGTTTGGTTTGCACAACTTTTCGTCCTCGCGACTTACAATAATTCATTTTAAAGGGCATCACATAAAAACAGTGCAAAAGTTACGCACGTGCTAACTACCATTTAACGCCAACAGAATTTCTGTCTAACGTTGCTGGTATTTTCGTTCTCTTTAGATTTACGACCCGACGAAGAAACGGGAGCGGTGCAAAAATTCATAGGGATTATAGTTGTTAATTAGATAATTCCTTCTCATTCAATTTTGACATTCTCAGAAAGCTTTTTTGTAGTTTTTTTAATGTAATTTTCTGAGGAGTGAACTATATATATCGATATCCTATTGATTAAGTACCTCTGCCTTTTTTTTGAAATGGAGATGTTGTTGGAAAAAAGAGGAGAAGATTTTACTACATATTATTCATAATCTGAAAGTACCTTTTTATAGGCTTACAAAACAACTTAATCACCATAAAAATCTAAACTAATTTCAGATTTATTAGCAACTACTCCACTAACATAATAACAACCAAAGACTGAAATTTTAGCTAAAAAAAAAAAAAAAACAGAAAAAATCAGCCAAATATCAAATCTTTGAATCAGTCTTCAGCATTCCCCCTTGATTCAAAGTTTCTTGTCATTCCTCTTGAATCTTCATAGAACACTTCTCTCCATAATCTTGTAAAGCACTTCTCTTTACTTTGTGATGCACTTCTCATCTCTATCTTGTTGATGCACATAATCACCAACATTCTCTTAAAGGAGCACATCTCTCCACAAATATTGATAGAGCACATGTCTCAATCTCTCCATGGTGCACATCTCACCATGATTCCTAGAATAAAATTTTTTCTTCAACTGCTTGTGCCATGTTTGCTTGTTCTTCACTATTATATCGACAATATTTTTGGATATGACCAAATCTCTTACATTTGTGACATTGAGGTTTTCCTTTATGCCAACAATAAGTCTTGGCTAATAAGGCTTCTTCAATTTTTTTTACCATTTTCTTCCTCCCTCATTGATCTCCTTTGGTCTACGGCACTGAGGGCATTGACTAAATCCACTAGAGTTACTTTGGATAGGTCTTTAGAATCTTCAAGTGAGGAAATTTTGGACTCATACCTTTCGGGAACAGTCACTAAAATCTTATCAACCACTCTTTCATTTAAAAATATTTCACCAAGCAATCTAATTTTATTGACAATGGCCATAAGCTTACCGACATACTCTTTGATGGTCTCACCTTTCTTCATCTTTTGCATCTGAAATTCCCTTTTGAGATTCAGAACTTGCATCAATTTTGTTTGATCGTTGTCCTTGAAGTCTTCCTTTAGCATCTCCCACGCTTCCTTAGGTGATTCACAAGTCATTATACTTGTGAAGATTCCGTCCGACACGGCCGAATGAATACAAGAGAGGGCTTTTGGCTTCTTTGCTTTTTCTTCGTCGTGTTTCTTGATTTGTTTTACAGTTGGATTTTGTGGAAGAGGGGTCGGCTCATAGTCACCCTCAACAACCTCCCATAAACTCAAAACTTTCAAATGGGATTTCATCTTGATAGCCCAAGATTGATAATTGTCTCCATTGAGGATGGGGTATGAAAGCGATAAATTGTTGAATGCCATTAAAAATAAAGGTTGATCACTATATTTTTTTCAATCCTCACAAACCAAAGAAAACTGGTGCTCTGATACCATGTTGGAAAAAAGAGGGAGAAGATTTTGCTACATATTATTCATAAACTGAAAGTGTCTTTTTATAGGCTTACAAAACAACTTAATCACCATAAAAATCTAAACTAATTTCAGATTTATTAGCAACTACTCCACTAACAAAATAACAACCAAAGATCAAAATTTTAGCTAACAAATTAAAAAACAAAAAAAATCAGCAAAATATCCAATCTTTGAATCAGTCTTCAACATTCCCACTTGATTCGAAGTTTCTTGTCATTCCTCTTGAATCTTCATAGAGCACTTCTCTCCATAATCTTGTAAAACACTTCTTTTTTACTTTGTGATGCACTTCTCATCTCTATCTTGTTGATGCACATAATCACCAACATTCTCTTAAAGGAGCACATCTCTCCACAAATATTGATAGAGCACTTGTCTCAATATCTCCATGGTGCACATCTCACCATGATTCCTAGAATAAAATTTCTTCTTCAACTGCTTGTGCCATGTTTGCTTGTTCTTCACCATTATATCGACAATATTTTTGGATATGACCAAATCTCTTGCATTTGTGACATTGAGGTTTTCCTTTATGCCAACAATCCTTCTCCTCATAGCCAAGTTTCTTACAATTGTTGCATTGGACGCCTTTGCCTTTCCCTTTTGAAGATGAAGTCTTGGGTAATAAGGCTTCTTCAAAATTTTCACCATTTTCTTCCTCTCTCATTGATCTCCTTGGTCTTCGGCACTGAGGGCATTGACTAAATCCACTAGAGTTATTTTGGATAGGTCTTTAGAATCTTCAAGTGAGGAAATTTTGGACTCATACCTTTCGGGAACAGTCACTAAAATCTTATCAACCACTCTTTCATTTAAAAATGTTTCACCAAGCAATCTAATTTTATTGACAATGGCCATAAGCTTACCGACATACTTTTTGATGGTCTCACATTTCTTCATCTTTTGCATCTGAAATTTCCTTTTGAGATTCAGAACTTGCATCAATTTTGTTTGATCGTTGTCCTTGAACTCTTCCTTTAGCATCTCCCATGCTTCCTTAGGTGATTCACAAGTCATTATACTTATGAAGATTCCGTCCGACACGGCCGAATGAATACAAGAGAGGGCTTTTGGCTTCTTTGCTTTTTCTTCGTCGTGTTTCTTGATTTGTTTTAGGGTTGGATTTTGTGGAAGAGAGATCGGCTCATAGTCACCCTCAACAACCTCCCATAAACTCAAAGCTTTCAAATGTGATTTCATCTTGATAGCCCAAAATTGATAATTATCTCCATTGAGGATGTGGTATGGAAGCGAAAAATTGTTGGATGCCACTAAAAACAAAGGTTGATCACTCTATTTTTTTAAATCCTTACAAACCTAAGAAAACTGGTGCTCTGATACCATGTTGGAAAAAAGAGGGAGAAGATTTTGTTAGAATGAGGTGTAGATCAAACCTCATTTCCGATGAGGAGCGCCGGCGAGGAGCTCCGACGAGCTCGATGTCGACGCAGGCGAAGCTGGAGGCGTAGCCCAGGTGAGCTTCGATGGTCGCAGGCGAGCTCGAGCTCTGCGTTCGAACCCTTTTTGACCTCGGTGTTTTGACGGTTCGAACTCTGCATCACAGGGATCCGACCTTTGCGTTTGGCGATGCCGACCTCTGCGTTCGGGGCCTCCGACCTTGGCGTCAAAGAGGGACGCTCGCGTGACAGGCTGTCGCCAGCCTGTCAATTCCGTCTATAAAAGCCCCTCCCCCGTCGACCTAGGGTTTCGGCTTTTTCCCCCCTTCCTCCGATTCGTCTCTGGCGGCGATTTTTTTTCCCTTTCGTTCTTCGTTTCTTTTTTTCTCCCACGCTCAGAGTTGGGATTTTGAGGGGAGATTAAAAGGGGATTTAAGAAGAGAGAGAGAGAGGGGATTAAAGAGAGAGAGAGAGATCATTAAAGAAGGGGTGCTTTATATTGTGGGGGTATTTATTTATTCTCAAGTGAGAATTGAAAGGGTTCATACCCTTTAATTATTAACACTGTAGCTACAGTGTTCATTTGAGAGATCTTATATTTGATCTGCTCTTATAATTGTAATTTCTTGTTTGATTAATAAGAAATTATCTGTGTGGCTCCCGAGGACGTAGGCAGTTGTCGAACCTCGTAAATATTGTGTACTTTTCTCTATAATGCGTTTCTGTTACATTAAGAAAAGAGGTATTAAATTCCTAACAACTGGTATCAGAGCGTGAAACGATCTAGAGGAAGTCAGATTCAAGTGGGAGCCATGGCCGCAGATGAAGGGAAAATAAGACTTGAAAAGTTTGATGGAACAGATTTCGGATTCTGGAAAATGCAGATAGAGGATTATCTGTATCAGAAAAATCTGTATCAACCACTATCGGGGAAGAAGCCAAATTCTATGAAGGCAGATGAGAGGAACCTTCTAGATAGACAAGCTCTCGGAGTTATCAGATTAACGTTGACTCGTAATGTTGCGTTCAACATAGCGAAGGAGAAGACCACGGCAGGTCTTATGGCAGCACTCTCAAACATGTATGAGAAGCCATCAGCCGCGAACAAAGTTCATTTGATGCGGCGGTTATTCAATCTGAAAATGGCGGAAGGCGCGTCAGTAGCACAACACCTCAATGAACTTAATACGGTTACAACCCAATTGAGTTCAGTTGAGATTGAGTTTGATGAGGAAGTTCGGGCGTTGATACTTTTGTCTTCCCTACCAGAGAGTTGGAACGCTACAGTCACAGCTGTGAGTAGCTCGTCGGGAAACAGTAAGTTGAAGTTCGACGACGTTCGTGATTTGGTTCTCAGTGAGGAGATCCGACGGAGAGAAACGGGTGAAGCTACAACCTCTTCAGTATTGCATACAGAATCAAGAGGTAGAAGGAGACGAAGGCAGAGGTGAATGTCACCTCCACTTCAGGAGGAGACGACGCATTGATATGCTCTTTGGAGAGCAAGGAGGAATCTTGGGTGTTAGATTCAGGAGCGTCGTTCCATGCTACCTCTCAGAAAGAATTCTTCGAAAAGTATAACCCCGAAAATCTTGGATACGTATATCTTGGTGATGATCAACCATGTGCTATTGTGGGCAAAGTCGTGGTGAAAATTAAGTTGAACGGGTCTGTATGGGAGCTGAAGGATGTTAGGCATATTCCCGACCTGAGAAAGAATTTAATATCCGTAGGCCAGTTGGCTGGCAAAGGATATACCACGACCTTCCATGGAGATGATTGGAAGATCTCAAAGGGCGCAATGACGATTGCCCGAGGCAGGAAGACTGGTACCCTGTATATGACAGCAGGTGCACGTTGTTTGATCTCAGTTGCAGCAGGCAATGAGACTTCAAAGCTGTGGCACCAGAGACTCGGTCATATGAGTGAAAAGGGGGTGAAAATCATGCACACAAAGGGAAAACTCCCAGGACTGCAGTCAGTGGAGATGGATATGTGTGAAGAATGTATACTTAGAAAGCAGAAGAGAGTCAGCTTTCAGACAAGTGGCAGAACCCCCAGGAAAGAGAAACTAGAGCTCGTTCACTCAGATGTTTGGGGACCAACAACCACCGCGCCCATTGGTGGAAAACACTACTTCGTGACTTTTATCGATGATCACTCTCGGAGAGTGTGGGTCTACTTTCTGAAGCATAAGTCAGAAGTATTTGAAGCTTTCAGGAGATGGAAAGCTATGGTCGAGAATGAGACCGGTCTGAGAATAAAGAAGCTCAGGACCGACAATGGCGGTGAGTATGAAGACACCGGATTCAAGAAGTTCTGCTATGAGCACGGGATCAGAATGGAGAGAACCGTGCCAGGCACGCCTCAGCAAAATGGTGTAGCTGAGCGGATGAACCGAACGTTGACAGAGAGAACCAGAAGCATTCGAGTACAGTCAGGCCTACCGAAGCAGTTCTGGGCAGAAACGGTCAACACAGCAGCTTACTTGATCAACCGAGGTCCATCGGTTCCATTGGAGCACAGAATACCAGAGGAGGTATGGTACGGAAAGGAGGTAAAACTCTCACATCTCAAAGTTTTCGGTTATGTAGCTTACGTGCATATTAGTGATCAAGGCAGGAATAAGCTTGATCCCAAGTCAAAGAAATGCACTTTCATCGGCTATGGTGAAGATGAGTTCGGCTACCGCATTTGGGACAACGAAAACAAGAAAGTGATCAGGAGCAGAGATGTAATATTCAACGAGAAGGTGATGTACAAGGACATGCACAAGACTGACGACTCAGAGAGCGAGTCCACATTTATAGATGCAGATGATGTCCCGAGTAACCTCTCGGAAGAACCCAATGCAGAAGATCCTCAGCCAAAAGAGCCTGTTGGACAAGATGGTGCGTAGGAGCCCGACGCACCAGCTCCGATATTAAGAAGATCTTCTCGTCCTCCTGTACCCAACAGGAGATATATGAACTATCTGTTGCTGACAGATGGTGGGGAGCCTGAAAGCTATGATGAAGCTTGTCAGTGTGGAGATGCGAGCAAGTGGGAGCTTGCCATGAAAGATGAGATGAAGTCTCTCATATCAAACCAAACGTGGGAACTAGCTGAGTTGCCCACGGGTAAGAAGGCACTCCACAACAAATGGTTCCAGAAGATATAAAGCCCGGCTAGTTGTCAAAGGTTTCCAGCAGAAGGAAGGAATTGACTACACCGATATTTTCGCTCCCGTGGTGAAGCTAAATACTATCAGGACCGTGATGAGTATTGTAGCAATTGAAGATCTTCATCTCGAGCAGTTAGACGTGAAGACGGCGTTTCTTCACGGAGATCTAGAAGAGGAGATATACATGCACCAGCCAGAAGGTTTCTCAGAAGAAAAGAAGAAGAACCTGGTGTGCAGACTCAAGAAGAGCTTGTATGGCCTGAAACAAGCCCCAAGACAGTGGTACAGAAAGTTTGACGGCTTCATGCACAAGGAAGGTTTTCAGAAGT